CTTTCTTTTCCAACTACCTATCTGGGTGAAGGTTGATATACATGTATGAAGCAGATGTGAGCATCTGCTTTCTATAAAACCAGGCATTAAAAAGATTTACATTTACATTTGCAAAAATGTAAAACAATGCCACTCTTCTCATTGTATTTTTTTTTTTTGGAAGAGAGTTCATTTTCATAAAATACTATGTTAACGAAAAAACATTATGTTAACATGTAATGGGTTTATTACTGTTATTTCAAGTAAACAAATTTAAAAATTTTAATATTGTTGGCCCCTGGCTGACTCAGTCAGTAGAGCACGCGACTTCATCTTGGAGTCAAGAGTTTGAGCCCCATGTTGGGCATAGAGATTACTTTTTTTATTTAAAAAATTTTTTTAATGTTTTTTTAAATTTATTTTTGAGAGAGAGAGAGAGCCAGCGTAAGCAGGGAAGGGTCAGAGAGAGAGGGAGACACAGAATCCAAAGACAGACTCCAGGCTCTGAGCTGGCTGTCAGCACAGAGCCTGACGCGGAGCTCGAACCCATGAACTGTGAGATCATGACCCGAGCCAAAGTCAGACACTTAACCAACTGAGCCACCCAGGTGCCCCAAGATTACTTTTTTCTGAAAGTTAAAAAAAATTTTTTTTAATATTCAGTTTCTAATATGTAATTATTAATGGATATAATCCACATAATTAAAAGCTCATTGAGGTACTCAGTAAAAGAATCCTGAGACTGAAATCGTTGGGAACTAACAGTTTAAAACATTAACTCTGGACTGTAAAAAGAATCATTGTAATCTGAAGTGATAAGAAAGCACTACTTCATGGAGGAATTGAGAATTGAATTAATTCTGGTATTGAGGTTAAGAAATATTGGGATGCTGTGGTGAAGAGAATTTTCCAGGCTTAAGCACATATGCCATGCGCTTAATATTTTGATTCTCCCACTATTTTATTTTATTTTTATTTTATTTTTTTTTTATATTTTTATTTTTATTTCTAGGAGAGAGAGAGACAGCGTGAGCAGCGGAGGGTCAGAGAGAGAGGGAGTCACAGACTGAAGCAGGCTCCAGGCTCTGAGCTGGCAGTCAGCACAGAGCCCGACGCGGGGCTCGAACCCACGAACCGCGAGATCATGACCTAAGCGAAAGTCGGACGCTTAACCAACTAAGCCACCCAGGCGCCCCCTCTCCCCACTATTTTAAAAGTAATGCATTTTGGGGGTGCCTGGGTGGCTCAGTTGGTTGGGTAACCCACTTTGGCTCAAGTCATGATCTCAGAGTTTGTGGGTTTGAGCCCCGCATGTAGCCCTGTGCTGACAGCTCAGAGCCTGGAGCCTGCTTCAGATTGTGTGTCTCCTTCTCTCTCTGCCCCTCCCCAACTTGTGCTCTCTCTCTCTCTCTCTCAAAAAATAAATAAACATTAAAAACAAATTTTTAAAAAGTAATGCATTTTCATTGTAGAGGGATTGTAAGATATAGAAGAATGCATATTAGAAAAGAAATCATTTGTATTCCAGACACCTGGAGATAACTGCTGTTTGATTTGTTAAGTTAAACTACCGACTGCTTTATTGTGCCAAAAACCAAAGAAAATGGAAAGGCACAGAAGTCAGCTTGAAGGCTAATGATATTTACTAACTTGGATCTCCTGGTGAAGATGGAAGGTGGTGTCTGCCAAACTTTTCCATTGTGAAACTGCTCCTTTTTTCTTTGTAATGAATAAGTATTTTTGTAGGAAGGTTCTTTGAAACTACATATGTATCCCATTCCTCATCAAACTTTCAGTGTATTTACTAAAATGGACTCAGTGTTTTCTTTCTTTTTTGGGAGTAGGTTCAACAGTTTCTGTTTTATTTGATGATTATTGCCATTATTTTGGTGCCAACATTGTTCCAGGTTTGGCCAATGAGAGCCTCTTCAAACTGACTTCTGTATCCTTTTAACTTCCTTGCTTTTTGGCACAAAAAGCAGTCAGTAGTTTAATTTATTTAACCTACTAATAACCATTTTAGAGGACTCTTGTCTTTATTGGTCATATTCTACAGTACTTTGTTCTTGAATATTGATTATCCGAATATAACATATTTCCATAGTTTTTAAAAAAGTTTTTGTTAATGCCTTATTTATTTCTGAGAGAGAGAGAGAGACAGCATTAGCAGGGGAGGGTCAGAGAGAGGGAGATACAAAATCCAAAGTAGGCTCCAGGCTCTGAGCTGTCAGCACAGAGACCGACGCGGGGCTCAAACCCACAAACTGTGAGATCACGACCTGAGCCGAAGTTGGACGCTTAACCGACTGAGCCACCCAGGCACCCCTCCATAATTTTTGACTAAAACAAACACCAGCTAGATTTTAAAAGTCATTTAATCTACCAAAGAAAATCAAAGTCATTTAACCTCAAAAGAGCACTTACCTTTTTTTAAAGTTTATTTATTTATTTTGAGAGAGAGAGAACTCGTGTGTGCCAGTGGGGAGGGGCCAAGAGAGGGAGAGACAGAATCTCAAGCAGGCAGGCATCTTGCTGTCAGCACAGAACCCAATGCAGGGCTCAAATCCACAAATCATGAGATCATGATGAAGAGTCTGTCGCTCAACGAACTTAGCCACCCAGGCACCCCAAAAAAGCACTTACTTAAAACAAACTGTAATCTTCGTATTTACTTCATCTGTTTTCTATTGTGCATCAATTCTAGTAACTAAATGAACCTAAAATCAAAGTAGCCTTTTTCACACGGATATTCCTTTCTCTCTGCTAAACTATGGACCTTTAGAATATTATTAGGTTAATATATACATTTCTTCATACCTTGTATTTCTATTGATTATTAATTAGGTTGTCATAAAAATACAATCTAACAATATAAAAGAAGAAGAATATTTTAATACTCTCACAAATATGTCCACATGGTATTGTATGTAAAACATGCTATTGCTAATACTTAAACAGTACCCTAAACTTGAAGTGTTTCTTTTTGTTAAGAGGAAATTGTCTGTTTTCTGAAGTATTTGGAAAAATATTTTCTAAGTATTTTTCCTGTGCATTCCATTAATTAGTAATACTGACATCTTTTAATTTTAAAATATTTTAAAACATGTTAATTGATTCTGTCTAGTATATATAATATACTGTGTCCTTTTTATCATTGCAATATTATTCATTCATCAGTCAGTGGACATTCACCAAGCACCAGTTACTAGTAATAATAGCAATAATCTTTTACTTTTACTGAATTTTCACTACAGTAAAATCTTGGATTGCGAGCAACTTGTTCTGCAAGTGTTCCGCAAGACAAACGAACATTTCTAATAAATTTTAGCTTGATGAATGAGCAATGTTTTGCAATACAAGTAGTATATTATGCCACATGTTACATGATCACAACCAAGCTGATGGTCCTTTGAAATTCACTTTGACATATTAGTATTTTTGTTTTTTGTTTTTAATGTTTGTTTATTCTTGGAGAGACAGAGACAGAGCACGAGCAAGGGAGGGGCAGAGAGAGAGGGAGATACAGAATCTGAAGGAGGCTCCAGGCTCTGAGCTGTCAGCAGAGAGCCCAGTGCGGGGCTCGGACTCACAAACCGTGAGATCATGACCTGAGCTGAAGTCAGAAGCTTAACTGACTGAGCCACTCAGGCACTCCAACGTATGAGTGTTTTGCATTATAAGCATGTTTCGCGAATGATTATGCTTGCAAACCAAGGTTTTACTGTATTTCATTAAATCTAATGTCATTAGTTATAAAATGCACATTTTAATGTGCTGCTAAGAGAAAATCTTGCCAAATAGACTATTACATATGATTCATTGTAAAATGCTCCCTAACTTCAGAAATATTAAAAAGGGAAAAACTATCATTTTTTAAATTGTTGACATAGAGCACTTGACATGTTAATTCACTTAATTACACCAATCTTATGAGACAGGTGCCATCATTATCCTCATCTTTTTAAAAGACTTATTTGGCAGGGGTTGAGGGCCGAGGGTAGCAGCACCTGGCTGGCTCAGTCAGTAGAGCATGTGATTCTTGATCTAGGTCCTGAGTTTAGCCCCATGTTGAAGGTAGAGTAAATTTACTTAATAAAAAAAAAAATCTTTTCAGTATATATTTTTAAAGTAATCTCTACTGCCAGTGTGGGGCTCAAACACACAATGCTGAGAAAAAGGGTCAGTGCCCTACTGACCAAGCCAGCCAGGTGCCCCTCATTCTTATAAAGAAGCTCAGTCACAGAGAGGTTATGTAACTTTTACCAAGGTCATGCAAATATCAAATAGATTTGAGAATGAAGATCCTAACTCCACCTCAATTACTACACTGTACTGCCTTCAGCCAGAGTGATTAAAACAGTCACTTTTCAATAATTCTTAGGAAAAGTAGGAATCAGGTTAATAATTTATGCTGTAATATAAATGTCTTATTAGAGAGCTGCATAAGAGAGTATGGGGATGCAGAGGAGAGATGGTTTAACTCTTTCTGAGGAGATGTATATGTATCGAGTCCTCTTCTGTCAAGATATTGTAGCTTAAAAATCATGTTTAAGTTCTTCTAACCTTTCTGTGTTGCTGTGACTGTTTTAATCTTTCATTCTTCCTGCTGCAGCCAAAAATATTTTTTTCAAAATACCATTAAAACACTTTTCTTTTTTTTTTTTAATGCTTTATTTCTAGGAGAGAGAGAGAGAGAGAGCGTGAACAGGGGTGGGTCAGAGAGAGAGGGAGTCACAGACTGAAACAGGCTCCAGGCTCTGAGCTGGCAGTCAGCATAGAGCCCGACGCGGGGCTCGAACCCACGAACCACGAGATCATGACCTAAGCGAAAGCTGGATGCTTAACCGACTAAGCCACTCAGGCGCCCCAAAATACCATTAAAACACTTTAAAACACTTTTAATGTCTTCATAGTATATAAACATAAAGATTACTAGATGTATCTTATTAAAGTGAATATCTGGAAAAATAAAAAGTTCAAATTAGCTAAGTAAATGAAGTTTAAATTGAATGTTTTCACAGGTGCTGGAGAAAATTTGGAGAATACAATGGCAGCCTTTCAGCAGTAAGTATATAAAAAGGTATTCTTTTACAGTTTATCTTTGAAGTGATAAAGATTCACAAAGTGAAGATAGTATACGTGTAGCATCCACTTGGGATAGTTGTTTCTATTTTATTAAAATCACGCTTTTTTTTTTTTTTAATTTAGCTAGTCTGAAGTGTTACAAAGAGTGTTTGGCCTCTGCATAACTGAAAAACTAGAACAGAGTTGTGGGTAATCAAAAGATACTATAGTTCTAAAGCTGAAAGAAGACATTTGTAACAAGGAACATACTGTGTGTAATGCTAATTAGTCTTGGAGAGAAAGAGAAAAGGAGAAAATGAAACAACTGTTACACTGATTGCTGTTTATGAATAGAGTTATGTGTCTACCCTGTAATTCTTCTACCGACCTGAACCTGTAATCTGGTCTTTCTTGTTTGAAGCTTTATGAGTGGGGATCTTATTTTTCTGAATAAGATAGATTTTTTTCAGTGTTTCAGTTATTCCTATTTCATATAGATCTCTTTTAGGGCACCTCACAGAGAAGCAGCAGGAGAGACAGGAACGAAAGCTGATTGATACCTTGTTCTTTGTCTTAGAGTAAATGATCATCATCAGTCTGTGGTAATGGTGAAAACACGGTTTTGTTTTCTCAGGAAAATAAGGCAGGGAATATGCAAAGTTATACCCCATGGAAGACATTACCTTTCCATATTTAATAAAAAAATATTTTTTAAATTTTTAAAAAATTTTTACTCAGTTTTGAGAGACAGAGCACAAGTGTGGGGAGTGGGGCTCGAGAGAGGGAGACGCAGAATCTGAAGCAGGCTCCAGGCTCTGGGCTGTCAGCACAGAGCCTGATGTGGGGCTCACACTCATGAACCATGAGATCATGTCCTGAGCCAAAGTCGGATGCTTAACTGACTGAACCACCAGGTGCCCCGAAAAATATTTTCTTAATCTACTTACTGAGCCATGTTTATGCATACAATTGGAGCTAAGAAATCAGGAGAAGTTGGCTTAAGTTTTTGTTCTGTTTCTCATCATTCAAAGACACCTTAAAATTTAGGTGTGTCTGGCTGACTCAGTCCATAGAGCATGTGACTTTTTATCTTGGGGCTGTAAGTACTAGCCCCAGATTAGGTGTAGAGATTACTTAAAAATAAAAATAACAAAAACACCTTAGAGTTTATTTTTCCTGTTATCAGGTCCAAATGTACTGCTTTTCCAGATTCTAGTTTTATCTAAATCCTATCCTCCTACGTTTGTCATTGCTTATTCTTCCTGTTCTGTAGTACAGTGCGTTTGACTATAATCCCCCAAATTCTCTTACATCCCTAAAAATGCAGAAAACTTTCCTCCTGTCTGTGGAAAAAACTTTCCAGACTCTGATACAGAACACTTTAAATTACTCTAAGTTTAAAAAAATAAAATAAATGAATTACTTTATTTGTACAGTTTACACTGAGATGTATATCAGTGTGTACCCAATATACTATGATTTATCAAATATTTGTTGTCTGGAATGTAGTGATATATATAATATCTGGGGGATAAATGCTTATAACTTTGAATGATTCTAAGCATTCTTTATGTTTAAAGTGTATTATTTTGTAAGTTTTTCTCCATATTGTTAAATTTTTACCAACCACCCTTATTTGTGAAATTAAAATACTTGGTTACAATAAACTCTTTCTAAGGATACTACCTTTGTATAATAAGTTATTTATAAGGTGGTATATAAATGGTTTTATCTTTGAAGATTGATCATCTGAAAAGTTTTTTTGAAATGCATAGAATGTCTGATTTAGGTGGTTTTTACTTGCCAGATACGACATTACATTTACTATGTTTAGTTGTTGTTTGTCTTTTTTATTTTCTTTGTTCATTTGTCTTATTTCTTAAATTCAACATATGAATAAAATCATATGGTATTTGTCTTTCTCTGTCTGACTTATTTCACTTAGCATCATATCCTCTAGGTCCATCCATGTTGTAAGTGGCAAGATTTCATTTTTTTAAATGGCTGAGTAATATTCCATGGTATATATGTATATGTAATATATATATATATGTGTGTGTGTATGTAATATATATATGTATATGTAATATATATGTGTTTATATGTAATATATATATGTATATGTAATATATATATATACACCACATCTTTATTCAGTTATCTGTTGATGGACATTTGGGTTGCTTCTACATCTTGGCTGTTGTGATGAATAATGCTGTAATAAACATAGGGGTGCACATATCTTTTTGAATTAGTGTTTTCATTTTCTTTGGGTAAATACCCAGTAGTGGAATTACTGGATCACATGGTAATTTTATTTTTACTTTTTTTGGGGGAACCTCCGTATTGTTTTCCACAGTGGCTGTGCCATTGCATTCCTACCCACAGTACACGACAGTCGCTTTTTTCCCACATCCTTGCCAACATTTGTTTCTTGTGGGGTGTTTGTTTTGTTTTGTTTTTTATTTGAGAGAGAGGGAGAGAGAGAATCTTAAGCAGGCTCTACACTCATCATGGAGCCTGATGCAGGGGTTGATCCCATGACCCTGGGATCAACCCATGACCTGAGTTGAAATCAAGAGTCTTATACTCAACCCACTGAATCACCCAGGTACCCTATTTCTTGAGTTTTTGACAAGTGTTAGCCATTCTGACAAGTGTGAGGTGATACCTCATTATAGTTTTTATTTGTTTTTCTCTGATGGTGAGTGAAGCTGAACATCTTTTCATAGTGTGTTGGCCATCTGTAGGTATCCTTTGGAGAAATGTCTGTTCATGTCTTCTGCTCATTTTTTTAAAAATGTTTTATTTATTTTTGAGAGAGAGAAAGAGAGAGAGAGAGAGCACAAATGGGGGATGGGTATAGAGAATGGGAAATAGAGGATCTGAGGTGGAGTCCGTGCTCACAACAGAGAGCCTTATGTGGGGCTCAAACTCATGAACCTCGAGATCATGACCTGAGCCAAAGTCATACACTTAACTGACTGAACCACCCACGTGGCCCTCTTCTGCCTGTTTTTCAACTGGATTATTTGGGTTTGGGGGTGTTGAGTTGTATCAGATTTTATATATTTTGGATATTAACCCTTTATAGATAGGTCACTTGCAAATCTCTTCTCCCATTCAGTAGGTTGACTTTTAGATTTGTTGTTTGTTTACTTAAGTGTACAGAAGCTTTTTATTTTGGTGTAGCCCCAATACATTAATTTTGCTCTTGCTTCTCTTGTATGAGGAGACATATCTAGAAAAATGTTTCTAAGGCTAATGTCAAAAAAATTACTGCCTAGTTTCTCTTCTAGGAGTTTTATGGTTTTAGGCCTCAGTTTAGGTCTTTAATCCATTTTGAATTTATTTTTGTGTATGATGTAAAAAAGTGGTCCAGTTTCATTCTTTTTCATGTAGCTGTCCACTTTTTTCTGCACCATTTGTTAAAGAGACGATATTTTCCCCAATAGGCTTAATTTTAACCTCTTTTTAAATTTGTTGTTTTTGGTGGTTTTTGTGTTTTGTTTTATCTTATGTATGTATCAGTGCTCTTGCTATCAATCAATACTTTTGTTTTCATTTAGAAATATTCTATTAGCTCTTTAACTTCTGGGATACTTAGAAGGTCTTTTTTCTTTCTTAATACCTGTTTCATGTGCAGCAAGAAAAAGATCATGTCAACATACTATTTTCAAGGTACATTATGTTTAAAAGGTGGAGTTATGATACATAATTGGCAAAATATAGATACTGTGCTTAAGTATGGTATATCTTTGATAGGATAAGTAGTTGAGAGTGAGATAGTAAAAATATAATGAGCAGCTAAAATTTAGATCTTATTTATGTACATGTGTAGACATACATTTTACAGAGTATATATATATACACATGTATATGTATGTCACATATATATATATGACACAGAAGTGAAGAGAAGAAGATATTAGAGAAAGTATAAATAGTTGGTCAGGGAAGCCTGGTTAAGATTCACCAGAAAATTGAAAAGATACCAGGACTAGAAGATTTATCATTTGGTACAGAGGAAGAAGCTATTTTTAAAATGTGAAAGTGTTTGGGGTGCCTGACTGGCTCAGTTGGTAGAGCATGCAACTCTCAATTTCTGGGTTGTGAGTTTGAGCCCCACACTGGGTGCAGAGATTACTCAAAAACAAAAGCAAAAACAAAAAAGAAAGGGAAAAAAATGTGAAATGTTTGAGATTAAGATGTAAGGGTATGTAGATAAGATATGTCTAGGAAATTGAAAGAGCCTTAAGAATGTATGGAAAATTATTTCATTCTAGTGGGCCGAAAGAAGTAATTAGGACTGACAAAGTAATAATTGCATCTCACCATTTTTTCCTGTTTCCTTCTTTCTTTCTTTCTTTTATTCTTTGCATCTCACAATTTCTAAAAAGTCCTGTAATGTGGTTTATAAAATGCTTTCACAAACACCCTAGGTTATGAATATAGCTCCTCTGTGGTTCCTTTTGTGGCAAGAATCCTTCCATATTGATCTCTCAGTCCCTAACACCTAGGTCTGGTGCTAATAGACTCTCACCAGTTGCTTAGCGAATGATATATGGCATGGGGAACTCAAGAACAAAGCAGAATATTAACAGAAGACAGATGAAGGAGACAGAACCCTGTCCATAATAAGTATAGAACCAAAAACTTAGGAACTGTAATACACACACACACGGACACGCACACACACACGCATATACACACACAGTTACTAAGCCCTTGAGTATATAAAATTTGGCTCTTAAGAGCTAATAAAACTAGGTTATTAAACCAGGCCGCCTTTGTAAATTCCCACAGGATGATTTGATCCCTGTGGTATTAGCATGAATGGTAAAAGAAAGAAACAAATTGTTTTAGCAATAGCTGGAAGTGTAAGTTGGCAGGCAGTCAAAGTAATTAATCAGTGACCTGGTTCTCATAGTATGTTTTTCAGAATATCTCATTAATCCTGTACTAATTTCTCATCTGTGAAATGTTGTGAGGAATTAAAG